AGGGTTAAACCAGGCTGCTCCTTGGAGGCAAGGATTCTGGGGCTTCATCTGACATACTTTGGACATGTTGTAAGGAGGGACAGGTCCTTGGAAAGCGACATCATGCTTGGGATGGTGTAGGGATGGCGCAGAAGGGGAAGACCCTCTATGAGGTGGACTGATTCCGTGACTGGGGTAATCAGGATGGGTGTTTCAGAGGTAGTGAGATTGGCAGAGGATAGAGCAGGGTTTCGGGCTGTTGTACATAGGGTTGCTCTGAGTTGCAAGCGACTCGGCGGCATAGAACAACAACAACCACCACCACCACCATTTCTTCCTTAACAATATCTAATTTTCCTACATTCATGGTTCTCACATTCCATGTTCCAATCTCTAGTGTCTGCTTACGACTGTTCCTCTTCCTTTATATTTCCATACTTGAAAGTTCTACCTCAGTTGCCTTTTCTGTTAGTCTACGTGTATTCTGTTGAACATAGGGTTTTCAGATGTCTGTTATTTTGGAAGTGGATGGTCAATCCTTGCTGCTACTCTGTCATAATCTGAATATTCAGATTTAGAAAAGTATCTGACAGACAAGCATTTTACAGAAAAAAAGTGAAATATATATTTGTTATTGTGGAGTTAACCATGAGTTTCAGGGTTGTCTCTGTCCTTGGCCCAAGTATCTTGACCCACTTATTTCCCAGCTCCACGATTCACCAGTGTACCCAGCCGCTTCTATCCACTCCCTTCAACATCCATTTCCCATTGTCCCGCCCTTGATCTGATAGCTTATAGCTGAAGCTTTCTTGGCTTCTGTGATTCCAAACATATCAATTGCTGACAGTTTCTTATGCTATGACCAGTATCTCTTAAGTTTAGTGGTATAGCTGAAGAAAAACAGAACTGAGATACAAACGGAGATTTGTATATCGATGTCCACAGTAGCATTATTTACAATTCCATTATTTGGAATTCCAGTAGAAACAGCTCAAATTTCCATCAACAATCACATGGATTGAGAAATTGTGGTACACACAGACAATTGATTTTGAAAAATATTATAGAATTTAGGAGATGCTGCATTATGCAGATGACACAACCCTGCTTGCTGAAACTGAGGAGGACCTGAAGCGCTTGCTGCAGAAGGTTAAGGACTGCACCCTCCTATATGGATTGAAGCTCAACGTCAAGAAAACAAAGATTCTCATCACTGGGCCAATTGGCAGCATCAGGACGGATGGTGAAGAGATTGAGATAGTTGACAATTTTAGTTTTCTTGGCTCCGCAATCAATGCTCTTGGTAACAGCAGCCAGGAAATCAAGAGACGAATTGCATTGGGAAAGCCAGATGTGAGGGACCTCCTAAGAGTACTGAAGAGCAACGACATCAGGCTGGAGACTAAGGTGCACCTGATCCGGGCAATAGTCTTCGCAATTATGTGCTATGCATCAGAGAGTTGGACAGTGAATAGGGATGATAGAGAATTGATGCCTTTGAGCTGTGGTGCTGGAGGAGAGTGTTGAATATACCATGGACTGCTAGGAGAACAAACAGGTTTGTCCTGGAGAGTGTGAAGACCGGAATGTTCCCTGGAGTCAAGGATTCTGAAGCTTCTTCTGACATACTTTGGGCATATTGCAAGGAGGGACTGATCCTTGGAGAGGGACATCATATTTGGCAGAGTGGAGGGGCAATGAAGGAGAGGAAGACCTTCGATAAGATGGATCGATTCGGTGACTGGAGCAGTGGGAATAAGTGAGTTTGAGATGGCTAGGTTGGTACGGAATAGAACAGCATTTAGAGTTCTTGTACATAGGGTCGCTATGAGTCGCAAACGACTCGATAGCACATAATAACAACAACAATCAATCAATCAATAGTGATTAATTTTGTAAAACACAATGTATGGGAATGATCTTATGAAACAATGTGAATGAAGGAATGTGTGAAACACAATGTATCATTCAAATTTTTTTAAAATTTTAAAATGAGAGGAGACTCCACTGATGGAAAGAGCATGGAAGTGGGAATGGAAAAAATTTAAAAAGAAAGGAGTTTTGCAAAGGGGATTTCATGCCAAGAACCAAGGAATGTGTGTAAGTCAACACTCAGCATCAGAAGTTTAAAAGGTAAAATTCTCTAAACGTATCTTCTTTCTCCCCTCTCTATATTATCTTGAATATTTTACATTGTATATTGGTAACACCATGATGGATGGAGAAACTGTTGAGATTGTTAACTATTATAGCTTGCTCAGCTCCACAATCAATACTCTAAAAATAAAAATCAAAAGTTGAATTGCATTAGGTAAATCTACTGTCAGGGACCTTTTCAAAGTACTGATAAGCAACAGTGTCAGTCTGAGACTAAGGTGCACCTGATCCAGGTCATGGTCTTCACAATTGCTTGTTATGGATCAGAGAGCTGGATAATGACTAAGGATGACAGAGGAGAATCAATGCCTTTGTGTTGTGGTGCTGGAGAAGAGTCTTGAACATACTATGGACTGCCAAGAAAATAAATATGTCTGTCTTGGAGAGGGTGTAATCCATTTTCTCTTTGGAGGCTTGGAATTTGAAACTCCATCTCACATATTTTGGGCATGTGGCCAGGAGGGACCGGTTCTTGGAGAAGGGTATCATGCCCAGAATGATGGAGGGACAGCATAGCAGAGGAATAATGTAGATGAGATGGATTGTGCAGTAACTGGGGCAATGGGGGTTGGTGTGTCAGAATTAGTTTATAGAGGCATGAAGATGGGTGTGTTATTTCCCCTAGCTTTTTGTTGTTGTGTACTGTGGAATGGGAACCAATTCATAGCTGACCGTCCAGCTATAAATAGCGTGGGAGGAGACTATGCAGCTTTATTTTTAGGAACAGCTGAAAAGAACCACATACCTTTGACTTGACAGCACAACTCCTTACCCTTAAGGCACCAGAGCTAGCAATTTATATCAGTCAGACTTAGTAGAGATCTTATATGTGCCTGGTTCAGCAACACTAAGGCAGCTTTGGAATGAGGCATGAGGGACAAAGCTTTCAAGACCCAGTGGGTCTTTGTGATTAACGGTTGGAGGGCTGGGAGCCTCTTACTTAAAGCAGTTGAGGTCAGCAGGTAAGTAATTTTTATTTAATTAATGGTCAGTAGAGGGCTGGGAGCCTCTTGTTTGAAGCAATTGGGATCAAGAAGGTGGGTCTTCTATTTGATTAATAGTCTGTTGTGGGGTGGAAGACTTTTGTTTAAACCAATTAGGATTCAATGAGTGGGCCTCTCCATACCTATTCAATCTGTATGCTGAGCAAATTATTTGAGAAGCTGAGATTCATTATTCTATGAAGAGGAATGTGGCATCAAGATTAGATAGAAACTCATCAATAACCTGCGTTATGGAGATGACACAACCTTGCTTGTTGAAAGTGAGAAGGTTTGAAACACTTGTTACAGAAGATTAAAGAACACAACCTTCAATATGGACTGCATCTCAATGTCAAGAAAACAAAGATACCACTGTAACGATAGGCTACATCAGGATAGATGGAGAAAAGATTGAAACTGTCAACAATTTCATTTTACTTGTATTCCACAATCAACACCCGTAGTACCAGAGTCAGGAATGAAAGAGATGCCTTGCACTGGGAAAATCTGCAGTTAGTGACCTCTTCAAATTATTGAGGAGTAATAACGTCAGTTTGAAAAGTAAGGTGCAACTGATTCAGGCCATAATCTTTCCCATCACTTGCTATGCATCTGAGAGTTGGACATTGAGTAAGGATGACAGAAGAATTGATGTCTTTCAGCCAGAGCTGTGTACTGAACACCCCACAGACTTCCAAAAGAACAAACAAATATGTCTTGGAGAAAGTACAATCAGATTGCTCTTTGGAGGCAAAGATGATAAAGCTGACCTCACATATTTTGGGCATTGCTACAAAGGGTTATTCCTTGGAGAGGGACATGATGTTTAGAAAGGCGGAGGGTTAGCAAAGGAGAAGAGGACCCTCAACCAGTGGGGGAAGCCCCAACTCTGGCCCACACTCTAAATTCCAAACCTTGGCTCTGCGCCGGCTCCCCGCAGTGCACGAAGCCCTGCCCCATTCCTGGTTCTAACTGTCAAGTCATAGCTTCTCCGCAGCCCCACAAGGATCCCTTTCACTGCGCAAAGCCCCGCCCCCAGCCCAGCTTAGCCTTGTCATTGTCTCTCCGAGGGTCCGCTCTCAGTGCGCGAAGTCCCGCCCCGGCCCAGCTCTGTCCCGTCAGGACACTGCTTCTCTGAGGTCCTGCCCCGCCCCTCAGTGCACCAAGCCCCGCCCCCGCCCTGCTCTGTCCTGTCAGGTCTTTGCTTCTCTGCCAACTGCAGACACTGGTGGTCAATACCAGTCCCCGCAGTGGCCGGCCTGAAGACATCAGATGCCATGGCAGCCGGGGGTCTGGAGGCAGAGGCCGTGGCCTTACGTCTGGAGCGGCAGGAGGAGGACATCCGCTGGCTATGGGCGGAGGTGCGGAGTCTGAGGGACAGGCAGCTGGATGCTGTTGAGCGGTTCCCAGGCGAGAGGCCTGAGCTGCTGAGGCAGGTGGCGCAGCTCCGGACGGAGAACCGCGACCTCCGCCACCACTTGTCCTGCCTGCGCCGCTGCCTGGTGGAGGAGCTGAGCCGCCAGACGCCAGCGGGGAGCGCTGGGCAGCCAGCGGGCGCACAGGTAACCAGGGAAGGCCTGGAGGGCACTGTTCCCATAAGAGCTGAAGGGTGCATCCTGGAGCCCGTCAGGCCAAGCCCTGTGTGGTCTATGCTTCCTCTTCCGGTAACGCAAGGACGGAGGGTTTCCACCCTGGAAGGGGTGCTTCGTGCAGCAGGCTCACTTCGCCCCGCCCTATCCCTCCCTGGGCCTGCAGGATGCACCTCGCACCCAGGGACTGATTCACCCAATGCACCTGCTCTGCCCTTCACCCTACAGGTTTTTCTTCACACAAGCATCTTGCCTGCCCCTCACCTTGTAGGCTTCTCCCCACATTAGCATGAGCATCTTGCCTGCTCCTCACCCTATAGGATTTGCTCCACAAGGAGCACCTTGCCTGCCCCTTACCTTATAGAATTCTCCTTACATGCGCACCCTGCCTGCCCCTTACTCTGCACACGTGTCTTCTCCCTAGCCTGTGGAAGCAGCGAGTGCCATGACAACTGAGACCACACAGTTTCCAGATGTGAAATTGGCCTCTTGGTGTGTGTAATTCCTGAGTTCTTCCAATACATTGCTTACCACGATTTCTGCGCAGTAGCAGAAATAGCCTGCTCATTTTGGAGCCAGGGAGGGAAGCTGGGTGTTTGAAACTCATTGTTGTTATTATGTGCCGTCAAGTCGCCTCTGACTCATAGCGACGCTTTAGATTATCTTTGCTTTGATAGGAGGACCCCTCCTTTTACAACCTCTTTGGTTACCTCTCTCTGGTACGTGGTAGTCAGCAGTTTAGGAGAGGTGGTTTTTCTTTCACTTGCTTGTCTTCTTGGTGTTTAGGAGGCGGGGGGGGGGGGGAATCTATACAGTTTAATATTTTTGTTGAATACAGAATTTTAACCTTTTTTTTCATCAAAGTAATTGGCTCATCTTCTAGTAACATAATAATCTTTCTGAGTTCTAAAGTCAGTGTCCGCTTCCAGGATGGTTTTCAGTCCTTTTCAAGTAATACTGTGGTACATTAGTAACAGGTTTATGAAATAGTGTGCTTAAAGTGTCTAATAACAGATCAGTGATATTTCCCATGGATATTATGTGCTTAAAGCTTACTGGAAACAATAAAAAAAAAAAACCCAACACCAGAAAATGTACTTAGTAAGAGTGTGTGAAATGCACAGACCCAAATAGGACTAGCCTTTCAAGTGCTATGTGTGACAGGTGAGCCCCTTGAGCATCTAGATTTGAAAGTCTGCTCTCTCAGCAATAACTCCCTCTATTCTCAGGTTTCAACTGTTTCTCACTTGGTATTGTTTTGAGCTACTGGTAATTTACTTCTTTTTTAAAATTTGGTGATTTTAAAATTATATTGCTTGTGTATAAAATCATTCATAGATAGTAATTTACCTTTATCTTCCAGGTTTCTTCTAGTCAAAGGAAACAAAACAACATTTTAAAAAAAGAGCAATGTGGGCTTAATAGTGAGATGAGTCATTGCTACAGGAGTATGTAAATATAATTGTAAACACACTTATATTGGCAACTTCCCAGGATTTCAAATAAGATATAAATGGCATTTAAGTTACTACTTGGTCCATAGTAGCATATGTAGTAGCATATTTAAAACTTTAGGCCTAAGATGTCTTATCTTAAAGGTGAACTAACCTCATAACTGTGTGGAAAATGTCTTAGTCTATCCAGGTTGATATGGAAATGCCTTTCTTTCTCTAGTGTTTAGTAACTAACTGTTTTGCTCTTTAAAACAATAAAACCCCCTACATATACATATACACATACACATACATATACATATACAGGTACATATACATTTTTGAACATTAAAACAACCTGAGTTAACTGAATATCAGCTGGAAGGAAGGAAAGAACAAGGAAGATTATATATAACTAAATGCTGAATCGTGGGTTTCTTTACCAATATGCTCATAGGGTTTCTGAGTCAGAGGCAACTCCATGGCACCTAGCAACAGCATGCATATGTGTAGAGTCCCCAGGTGGTATAAATATGCTTTCAGCTGAAAATCCAGAGGCACCTTTGAAAAAAGGCCTGGCAACCTACTGCCCCAAATCAATGGAGCATGACTATTCTGGCACACACAGAGTCGCCCTAAGTTAGAATCAAATAGATTATAATTAAAAATAGAATGTGTATGTGCTGGGAACATGAGAGAAAAGGAGATGTAGCAGTTGAAAGAGGTGGGCCTTGAGCTGGGCCTACAGGACAAAGGAGGAATTAGATAAGTGGAGAGGAGTTTTCTGGAGGTGAATAGACTAATAGAGACTAAGTGATGGCAGCAGCTTGCTAAGAAAGTGGGCAGGGAGGGGACAAAACTGATGTGTAGATAAGAATCTAGAAAGAAGTGACCTGTGTGTGGTAACAATGTGTTAAAATTATTTTTCCAGGTGATAAAGCAGCCAGATTTCATAAAAGAAAGATTAAAGTTCTTTGAAATACTGAGGAAAGATTATCAGCTCTTACATGCCATTTGTGGACAAAAGGAGAATGCAAACCACACAATCACAGTAAGAGTGGTGGATGGGAAGACAGTGCAAGGGGAAGCTTGGAAGACGACCCCTTACCAAGTGGCTGCCATGATTAGGTAAACCCAGTTTGGAGAATGTAATTGTGTTAAGTTTTTGCACCAGAACCTGGTGAAAATATTTCTTTCTTTAATCAATGGAATTAATAAAATACACTTAATTAATTATTACCTTCTACCATCTAAAGATGCCTTTTAAAGTAAAGTAAGTAGTTGAATATCAGCTGTCTGTTTGTTAAAAGGTCTGCATGTTAAAATTCTAATAAGAATACATCATAAAGGGAAAAATGATCCTTGACTCGACATTATCCTGACTTTATTATTCAATCAAATAATTTCCACGAGTTTTGCAAACTCTGTTTTGGACTAGGAGTCAAGAAGCTAAACTCCAGATCACTGACCCACTGTGGGCAGATCCCCAAAGATTTCAAGCCTCTTTTCCGACATCTTTAGTGGGAATGATAGTAGTTTTTGAAGTTGTAAAAGGGAACTGAAATGATATATGTGAAAGATAAAGTACTTTTAGGAACATTCTTGACACCAGCAGTCAGGATGAATTGCATTGGGAAAATCTGCTATGAGGGACCTCCCCAGAGTATTGAGAAGAGACAATATCAGTCTAGAGACTAAAGTGCACCTTATCTAGGTCATGGTCTTTGCAATTACTTGCTATGCACCAGAGAGCTGGACATGACTAAGGATGATAGAAGAAGAATCGATGCCTTTGAGTTGTGGTGCTGGAGAAGAGTCTTGAACATATCATGGACTGCCAAAAAAACAAAATAGGTTTGTCTTGGAAAGGGTAAAATCAAGTTCTCCTTGGAGGCTAGGATTTTGAAGTTCAGTCTCACATACTTTGGGCTCATGGCCAGGAGTGTGTAGTACTTGGAGAAGGACATCATGATCAGAAGGGTGGAGGAACAGCACAGGAGAAGGAGACCCCGAATGAGATGGATTGATACAGTAACTGGGGCAATGGAGGGAGGATGTTGGAGCCAGTGAGACTGGCTCAGGACAGGGCAGGCTTCAGAGCTTCAGTACATAGGGTTGCTGTGAGGTGCAGGCAATTCAATGGTACATAACAACAACATCAAGAAACATAGAGTACATACATGTTATAAATTGAAAGCATATACATTAGTGCTACTTTTAGCCTTAGAATATGACTTTCACCATTCTAAGGAGCAGTGATGAATGGTTATTTGGCTGCTAAACAAACAGTTGGCAGTGCCACCCACCCAGTGCTGAGCAAGAAAAGGCTAAGGCAGCCTGCTTCTGAAAATGGCCATGCCTCAGAAAGCATGGAAGCACATCTGCTGTGTCCTGTAGGGTCCCGAGGGCCAGGAGTCCATTTGCTGGTAGTAGATTTGGTTTGGTTTTGGCTTGACCTTCCCAGAAATTAGATATATTAGATAATTTACACTATTCTGATTTTTGTTAATTGTTAAAATTAGATTTAATAGAAGAGCTATAGCTCAAACTGCTGTGTAGATAAACTTATCATTTCAAAAATAAGGTGATTTTCACTGTACATCTAGTGATAGGGATTTCCAATTTAAAGTACCAATTGGGAAATACCAATCTAAAAACCCAAGTTTGGGGAGCTCTGGTGGCATGATGAATACCTACTTGAAATGCAAAGCCAAAGGCAGGCTGTTAGAATCCACCAGCTGCTCCTTGGGAGAAAAATGGGTGATCTCCCCCCATGTGATTTATAGCCTCTGAAAACCTGCTAGAAAGTCAGCTATAAATTGGTTCTGACTCAACAACAGTGAGTCGTTGTTTATGTGTGTAAAAATGTAGCATTAACCCAGACTATAAGGAGAAAAAAGGACAGAAACTCAGTATTGGTCAGTTTTAACATGCCTTTTTCTCAGTTTTTATCCATTCAAGTGATGCAATGAGGGTTGCAGAGTGGATTGTATTTGGGGGTAGGGGGTGGGGTT